AAAAGGCAGCATATCCTTATTGCGATGAACTCACCACTAGGCATCTGAGAGCTTAAGGGTTCAGGATTTCTCTTCCATTCATTCATTTTGCAAATGACAACACTGAGGGGCTTGCCTTACACATGGTGGGCTGGGGGCAGTGCAAAGGCCTAGTGCAGGGCTTTTGGCACAATGCCCTCTGTCTATCTGGCTTCCTCAAGGTGGGTGGAGGAAGAAGCCAGGGCTTGATCCACGGCTGACAGTGGTCATGGCTCACAGTTGTTAGAGCCTGGCCCTGAGAGGGACCTCCTGTGTCCTGTGGTTGCCCCTGGCTTGCTATCAATGCAAGTGTCCATGCAGAGAGGCGGGAAGAGCCGCGGGTGTGAGGTCCCTGTGGACCTGGGCAAGTGAGAGATCCGGTTCCTTCAGGTACCAGTGACACTTCACAGGCAAAGCCATTGTCTTCTCCGATGGCGCTCTTGACCACTGTGGGCTGTCAGGGGTGTCTCCTGGGGGCCACAGAGAACCCCAAGGCCAAAGTCCTTTCTGTGCTGTGTGGGTGGTTGACACCCCAGTCTTTCCTGCTCACAGGAGGCTGGAGAGAGTTAAGGGCTTCCAGGGTCTGGTGTTGTCGGCATTTAGGGAACTCACTGAGGGAGTTGCCTGAGAACAGACCTACCCGGAAGTCTGGTGGCTGCTCAGATGGGGGTCCTTGGCTCTGGGCGGGCACCACTGCCAGCCCTGAGCCACCTGGAGTTCTCTTTGGTTTTCACCTGTGGTCTCTCCCACTCTTTGGTGGTGAACCCTCTCACCCTGGGGCCACTGTGTTCACCCTCCCTCCCAGGGATCCAGCGTGCACGTTATGGGGCACTGCGTGGGGGTCGTGGAGCCCACCACTGCTGAAGCCAGGGAGGCATGTTCCCACTCTCCATTGCTGCAGCTGAGGTCATGGGGACATTGGGAAATGGGGACCGGAGGGCAGGAAGCCTGACAGCTTTGTGCGGCCAATTCCAGACCTTCAGCAGCTGCGTCCTCTCCTTCCTCCAGCCCACTTCAAGGCTCTTAGTGTGGATTCTCCTTTTCGGTTTTGCTTTGCATTTCAGTCATTTGAGCTGGTGCCTGTTTCCCTGCCCCTCCCTCTCCTTGGCTCAAGGGGCGTGTCCGGTTCATCCCTGTCCAGCTGACAGCCTCCACACTGGCCCATGCACACAGCAGGGAGGGACTCCCCAAATCCTGTCATTGAAGGGAGTTGGAGTGATAACAAGGGCCAAGGAGCAAGGGGGTTCAGTGACTCAGTGCTGAGGGTCTCCTGGACCCTTATCTACAAAGCTGCTCCTTAGGAGGGCACAGTGGTGCAGCTTCGAGCAATGTGGGAGGTGGGGCTTAAGAAGGCAAACACCTTACAGCTGCTCAAGTTGTGAGCACTGAAGGCTGAGGCTCCCCACTTGCCATCCATGAGATCTTGGGTGGGCATCTCCCCTATCTGTGTTTGCTAAGTGAGGATCGGAGCATTCTTCTTTTTGGATTGTGAGGGTTGTCATCTCCGACTTGAACATCGGGCCTGAGATGTAAAGTGAGCCCAGTTTCCTTGAAAACCCTTTCAGGCCTCTCATGGCTGCACCTGCCAATGTGCGACTTTCTGCAGCGGAGGGCACTGTTTGTGTTTTAAGGGCCGGGGCTTCGGTGACGCGGGCTGCCTGGAGGGCCGGCTGTTCTCAGAACTGTCCAGGCCCCATGGGAAGCTGTTCTGTGGACGTGGCTGGGTGTGGCTCCACCTGCTCTAGTTCCCGGAGGAGAGCCGCTTCCAGGAGGTAGTCTTGGTCTTGGCCTCTGTGACCTCACCTCAGATAACCTGGGCTGCAGGACATGCAGTTCTGTACCACCTGGCTGGCTCTGCAATGTTTTCTGTACACACAATCACTTCTATTTATCCAGTCTGAAGGAAAGCCAGCTTCATACTTCTTTCTTGAGAGTCAATTCCGTGTACTTTCCCTATTGTTCTTGCAGTAGGGGCAGGCAGGGGGCGGGGCAGGGCTGGCCAGCAGTGCTTATCGCTCCGCAGCGGCGGTTAGAGGCCCCGCTCCACCAACAGTCAGCTTGCAGCTGTCCTGGGCGGCACAGAGCGTGGTGAGAGGCGGATCGTGGCCTTCTTCCTCGGGCCCTCCCGGCCTTCCAGCCTGGGGGTGGTGGGTAAGCCCGGGGCCATAGGGACGGGCTGAGGACTGTGTCTGGCAGAGTCCTCACTAGTGCTGCCCACCACCGAGGCCAGACTCTAAGCGGCAGCAAACCTATTCCCCATCCCACCTCCAAGACCTGATGGCAGCAGCCGTCTCCATGGATCGCCGTTTGTGGAACCCCACCCCACTTTGGGTGGCCTGAGGAACCTGAGTGCCATCTGGGGCTGGGTGGGATCTAGGGGCTGGGTTGTGAGGGGCTGCCTCCTGAGCTCTGCCTCTTCAGCACACCGTGTGCCGGCGGGAGGACCCAAACTGGATGCTGGACGATTGCTCCCGGGCAGGGTAACTGGCCTGAACGGCGACCCCTCCTCTTACCAAGGACCTGGGCCTCACAGGGCAAAAGCTGAGCCTTGGGACCTTGAACCCGTAAAATGAGGGGTAATCATGTTGTTTTGCTTACCAGGTTTGTTATGTGTTAACAGCTGCAAGGAGGCACAGAGACAGAATTATATGACTCCCCTTCCCTTTCTGGTCAGAACAGATACTAATGTTTGTTTTGGTGGAGGTTTATAGGAACATCCTGACTTGACCATGGGCTGACCTCAAGAGCAAAGGCTCTGACACCATGAAGTCTGCAACAGCTACCCCCCCCCCCCATTCCTAGAAAAGGGCTTTGCTGAAAAGTTTTGGGGAGTTCAGGGTTTTTAAGGCATGAGCCTCCTCCCTTCTTGCAGGGCCCTGCAATAAACCTTTCTCTGCTCCAGACTTGGGTGTTTTGGTGTTGGCCTTATGTCGACTTGCACTTGGTAACATTCTCTGCAGGGGTCTCTAGTCCAGAAGGCTGGAGTTTATGGCACTGGCAACCCACCTCCAGGAGAGCAGGGCCTGCCTCTGTGGCCTCTCAGGGCCTGGGCTGGGACAGTTAGAGCAGCATTGCTCATCTACTTGTGGGGAACAGATCCTTCCTCTTGAGGGGGAGCCCCTCTCCTACAGAGCAAATGCCTGGGGGTTTTCAGCCACTGCTCCAGCATCTGTAGTCATCTTTGGGACCCCTGGCCACACTTACGGTCTTTCTCTATTTCAGTTTTATTATTTATTCTATTAAAAATGGTGATTGGAATTTCCTGGCAGTCCAGGGGTTAGGAATTTGTGCTCTCACTGCATAGGGCCCAGGTTCAATCCCTGATTGGGGAACTAAAATCCTGTAGACTGTGTGGGGCTAAAAAAAAAGAAAAAAGAGGTGATTCCGGCCAAGTGCTGCTGCTGCTGCTGCTGCTGCTAAGTCACTTCAGTTGTGTCCGACTCTGTGCAACCCCATAGAAAGCCCACCAGGCTTTCCCATCCCTGGGATTCTCCAGGCAGGAACACTGGAGTGGGTTGCCATTTCCTTCTCCAATGCATGAAAATGGAAAGTGAAAGTGAAGTTGCTCAGTCAGGTCTGACTCTTAGCGACCCCATGGACTGCAGCCTACCAGGCTCCTGCATCCATGGAAGATCCATGGGATTTTCCAGGCAAGAGTACTGGAGTGGGCTGCCATTGCTTTCTTCTCAGGCCAAGCAGTGAAGCAGAAATTGAGGTGGGAGTGGGGTTGCTGCTCAGCACGTGTTTATTTCTTAGGGCTCAGCGTCCTCATATGTTCCACTTGGGAGCTGAGAGTGGGCAGGACTTGATAGCACCAGATAATTTTTAAATTAAGTAGAAAAATGCAGGTCAAGCACTTGGCACAGAGCAGTGCCCGTGTCTAAGTGCTAACTGTTCTCACTGGACCCCAGCCCCCCAGCCTTAAAAAGCAGGCACCATGTGCAAGCAGGCAAGTGCACGCAGGCGCACACAAGAGGGGACACACACACACACACACACACACACACACACACACACACTCTGGGGCTGACAGCAGAAATTCCTCTTACAGCTAATAGGACGGAACTCAACCAACCAACTTTCAAAATTCCCCTTTCCCTTCTGTTTATCTTATTTATTATGTGTTTAGTTTGTGGGTGTTGTGATATTTGAGTCTGGCCGAGGCAAGTTTCTGTGGGTTCCCTTCTATCTTTCCTGGCTTGATAACTGGGACACAGCCTCCATTCCCGGGCTCCTGGGTACAGCTGGGGGAGAAAGATATCATGTGTTTCCCCCTCCCCAGGGCTGCATAAGAATAAATGAGTTGGTGTCTGAAACTTGCAGCCTGCAAGGGGCACCCAGGGAGCTCAGTAGCGGGGGTGGTGTAGGCACAGAGATGTAAAGGAACTCACCGGATGTCAGAGAGCTAGAAACGTCAGCTTTTGAACACAGAACACAGAAGCTGGAGCAGCGGGCCAAACCCCCCAGGGGTCTCCTTCGCTGCCACAGGAATGCGGCGGACCCTAGACCACCACCCTGGATACCCCCACAGCCTCTTGGGCAGAGGACCCCCTTAGTCCATGGGGCGGGGGTGCTGCTTATGTGTGTATATTTTGGCGGGGGTCCGGTGCAGGCAGACCTGCGGGTTCCTTCTCCAGGGCGCATGAAGAGACGAATGCCTTCGGCCTCTGAGATGCTGAATGGACCTAACTGGTGGTTCCCCGGCTCCGCGGTCGCTCCCGCGCCCGGGAGAGCCTGCGTCCCCGGGTTCCCAGTCTCTGCTGTTCCCCGCGCCGCGCAGCCGTCGGAGCTGGAGGACGCACCAGTTGAAACGCCGGCAGCCCGTCCCGGGACCCCGTACCCCGCGCTCCGGTGGGCCCCCCTTCTCCAGCGGCTCCCCCTCCCTTGGCGCCCGACTCCGGAGCGCGAGCGGAGGGATACGGGGCGGGGCGCGGGCACGCGGGTGCCGGGTTGCCACTGGGCTCTGAGGCGCGGGACTCTGAGGCGCGATGGCGGCGCGCTGCTTGGGCCGCGGCGTCGGGCGGCTACTAGGCGGCCTCCGTGGAGTGGGGGTGCGGGCGCTGGCTGCCCCCCGGCTCTGGAGCAGCGCCTCCGCTCCTGCAGCGCCGCCCAGCTCCTACCAAGAGCGAATCGCGCTGGCAGCTCGCGAGCCCGCCGCCTTCTGGGGGCCACTGGCGCGGGACGCTCTCGTGTGGGACACCCCCTACCACACGGTGAGCGACTGTGACTTCCGCAGCGGCAGGATCAGCTGGTTCCTGGGAGGCCAGTTAAACGTGTCCGGTGAGTGAGCCTGGGGACAGGGGCGCCCCAACTCGCACGCCGGGGGACCCCGAGCCTGGCGGCTCCACACGCCCCCTCCTCAGAGCTCGGGCTTCGCTCCCCGGCAAGCGACGCGGCCACCCCGCCCCCACCCCGCCGGCCCGGCCCCGACTCCCCGGTCGTAGCTCGGGTCCCCCGGTGCCCCCCAAGTCTAACGGTGGGTCGCACTGGCCCTCACACCAAGCGTGCCGCGCGGAGGGTGGAAGGCAAGGGGTGCACCAGGAGCAGGACTTCTCGCCCCCGGGGCCGGCCGGCGACAGAACCGAAAATCTTCTGACCGTTGTCACCGCCAGGTGCCGGCCGGCGACCCGCCTGGGGAGCAGCCCTGCCCGTGTAAACAAACGGAGCCGCGCCGGGTGGTGGGGAGGAGGAAGCCGCGCCGGCAGCCGGAGTCAGCCGGCGGGCGGGCGGGTGGGCGGGCGGGAAGGAAGCAGTGGTGGGCCCTCCCCGCTCTCAGTTTCACCTTCACCCCGAAGACCCAGGGGGCCGGTCTTCTGAGATCCAGAAGCCAGTTCCATCGCCAGTTTGTCCTCTCTGGCCCCTACTGGAGATTGAATCCCCTACGCTTCTGTCCAGACTTGGGACTGGGGTTTACACTGCCACCCACGCCCCGGGCCAGCCAGGGGCAAAAGGCCCAGCAACTGAGGGAAGGAGGAGGCCGGCTAGGCCTGGGGTGTGGGCAGCCAGATTGGGGGGGGGGGCGGTCAGAGGGGGCTGCCTGTCAAGGAGGAAGGGGATAATGGGATAGATGGGAGTCTAGGGGCTGTTTAAGGAAAGGTCTTCCTGACCAAGGCCTGAACTGGGCAGTGGGGTCTAAGTCCCCAGGTTCCACTTCTTTATTGGTCCAGTTTTTCTGTTCCTCTGCGTTTCAGCATCCTCCTGGGTAGACTAGAGGTCGCAATGCCCACCTGAGGGGCTGGTTGTGATGACCAGGCACACAGGGGTATGGAAAAAGCCCAGCACTTACTAGTGACCAATAAGTGGTAGTGATTTCGACTTGTGAAATTTAGAAGTAGCCAGAATTACAGGTAGTATCTTGCAGTTATTTTTCAAGCAAAGAAATTTAAGGGAACTTTGGACCAGACTTTTTTTTTTATATTGTATATTGCTTTGCTGGTTTAATAAAAATGACTCAGTAGATAAGTGTCTTCTCTAAAATTGAGTCAGCAGAAAGTGTCCTTGGACCAGTGGGAGAAAAACTAAACCCTTAGGTTTGCAGGGTTGGTGGAGTGAACCCTGGATTGAGAGAGCCGCGTGCAGAGAGAAGGGGTGGAAGGTTGCAGTTCCTTTAGAAGCTGCTTTGGACTTGGGAGACCTGAGTCTGCCACGGACATTCAAGGTGAACACGTGCCACCTTTCACTCTCAGATAAGAAGGGGGGAGTGGTGGTGGTGGTGGTGTAATGACAGATCCAATGCTACGGGCAGCCAGGGCCTCGTGAGCCCCACTCGGTCAGGTTCAAGGTCAGGGTTAGGGTGTGCAAGACACTCTTCTGCCTCTTTTTCTTCATTTATTTCTCCTTTATGGTTACCTTAGCCAGAAACTGAACTTCAGAAAACTACCTTGTAGTAAAACAGCATTTCAGCCACGTTCTCTCATCAAATGTGTATGTGACCCACTCATCTGTCAGGAATATCTCTGATGGTCGCCAGTGTCTGCAAATCACAGAGGTGATCATATGAAAAAGGACCAGACCAAGTCATGGCTATCCTGGAAGCCACTAAAAAGTTGTGGACTGGAGTGGGAGGGGGTGTGTTTTGGCATGCTCTGTCTGTCTGTGTGATGGTCGTGTGATGATGGCTTATTCCAAAGGAGCATCACTTAAAACTCCGTTTGCCCCTTTAGGAACGTCTGTACATACAGTTCTCAAAGTGTGGTCCCTGGATCAGCAGCATCAGCAAGACCTGTGAACTTTGTAGAAACATCCTAGATGGCCAGAGCCAGGAACCTGGGGGTGGATCCTCCAGGTGATTCTGATACACACTTAAGGTTGAGAACAACTGACCTGTGTCCAACCAGGGCAGGTGGGGCACCACTAAATGGGCAGATTGGGATGAATGCCAATCTGTCTCTCTCAAACAAACAGAAAGAGTCTGTGGGTGGTACCATACATTTCAGTGGTGCTGGGTGTGTCTTTGGAACCATACCTGGGTTTGAATCCTTGTTTTCCCTTGACCATTTTTTTTCTATCTAGAATCTTGCCAAGTGCTTAATTTTAATTCATTTTTTATTGGAGTATAGTTTATTTACAATTGTGTTAACCACACAGCAAAGTGAGTCAAGTATGTATGTGTATATATATATATATATATATATACATATATATATATATCTCCACTCTTTCAGATTCTATTCCCATATAGGTCATTACAGAGTACTGAGTAAAGTTCCCTAAGCTCTACAGTAAGTTCTTATTAGTCTACACTATTTTATGTATAATAATGTGTCTGTGTCAATCCCACTCTCCCAACTTACTTACTCCTCCTGCCCTCCCCTGACTGTTCTTTGGTTCGACTCCTCATTTGTAATGTGAGAACAGTGCGTAACTGAAATTCTTTTCCAGTTCCTATTTGTGCCATTTTCTTAGTCTCTCGGATTCCATGGGTCAGGACTTTGGACAGGGCCTGACGGGAGTGGCTTGCCTCTGCTCCCCGCCTGTGGGACTCTAGTCATCTACCTTGTTCACTCCCAAGTCTGCGGCCTGGCCTGCAGGCTGGGCTTAGCTGGAACTGTGGCCTGGAGCACCCACAAGGGGCTTCTCACAGGGTGGTGACTAGACCCAGGGCTGTTGGCTACTGGAGGTCCCAGAGACCAAGGCAGAAGCTGTTAGGCTTCTGACCAGCAGCAGGTGACCTGGGACTGCTGTTAGCATTGAATGTGAAAACGCTTGTGAAGCACTCTGCACTGTCTTCAGAGCATTCCTTGCACCCAATCACTGGCCTTTGTTATTTATTAATGAATCCTGGGAGGAGGCTGTGACCTTGAACCTGCTCTTCTACCATGCTGCTTCACCTCTGAATGGGACCACACAGGTTTTCCATCTGACCAGCCTATTCTGGGAAGCAGGCTGGGGAGGGCACGCAGGTGGCTGACGTGGCTCTGAAAGCCCTCCTGGACCCTAAGAGAGCCAGGCCATGGTGGGGGGAGGGGCGGGTTGTGGTGTCAGAAGGCCCTAGGTGGAGTGGGGTGGAGGTGGGGAGGTAGAGCCTACACCCCCTGCAGTAAACTGGCAGTGAACTGGTTTGCACGGGAATTCGAAACTCTTCAGAAAGCCACATTCTGATAAGGACTCTTTCCAGCTTTTGAAGTTTGGCTCTTTCCCTCGCAGGGCTCAACAGATGTCTTTGCTCCGTGGGTTTAAACTCGAGACATCAGGAAGCTGCAGATGCAGAACTGGAGGGTAGTGATGTGTTGCTTTCAGAATACAAAACGAAACTATTATGAGTCTGAATTTGAAACACAAGTGTGTGTATTCTTACTTTCAAGCTTGGGGATAGGGACACTGTTTATAACTAGCATTGAACACAGAGATTCCTTGGACGCTTTTTGGAACATTCCTTGCAGCAGTGGAAACCATTTTGCTGTAGCTCTCTCCTCTTCATGACGTGCCTCGAATAATTCAGATGGCAGAAACGTTGAGATGGCAAAAGCCTGCCTCCTAGGCTGCATTTCCTCCCAGTGGCTGAAATAGCTCACTCAGGTCCTTCAAGGAACTCTCAGTGGACACACGACCTCAGGTCTCAGGAGGAGGGAACCTCAGAAAGCTCTGAATCCTCCCCAGTTGTCAGAGACACAACTTACTTTAAATAGCAGATGTTTCTGGAAAGTTGGCAAATACAGTTTTTGTGATTGACGTAATACCTCAAATTGTGCCAGGGAGGTTTTCTATTTAAAGAAAACCTATTGTGACTCCTCTTGTGAATATTAACTCCCTCATCTCTTTGGATTAAAATTAAATTTTTGTAAAGGGAGGAGGGGCAGGGATGCATTTAAACAACCAACAAGTTTGTTGGATGGAAATGCCTGCATTTGTGTGTACATGTTTATGATGAAACTGACGACCCTCTGGTTACCTTTTCTTTTTTTTAATAATATCTTAATTTTTTTATGTGGGCCATCTTTTAAAAGTTTTTATTGAATTTATTACAACATTGCTTCTGTTTTATGTTTTGGTTTTTTTGGCTTCAAGGCTTGTGGGATCTTAGCCTCCTGACCAGGGGTCAGACCCACAGCCCTGCATTGTAAGGCGAAGTCTTAACCATTGGATTGGCAGGGAAGTCCCCATCACCTCTTCTTAAAAACAAACCCAAACTCACCACACACACCCGCTTACCTGTTTGCAGAGCCACATCAGGCCCGGGTGCAGACTTGCCCTTAGGTGAACTTTGTGATGCCTCATCTCACGACATCTTTGTGAAGTGTCTGGTGGCCCCATTGTACAGATGTGGATGTAAGGACTCTAGCTTGTGTTTGGTGGGGATCATGCATAAAATGCCCCAGTGCCTCAGAGCCTGTGTTCTAATGAGGAGAAGGCCCACAGATCAGTAAAGGAGCAGATCCACACTGGGGACAGTGCTCAAGGTTTTAGCTGTTAAGGGGAGAATTAGGAAGTTTGTCCCATTGTCCCCTGCCCCCCTTCCGAGGTGAAGGAATCTTAGGGATGTGGTCCCTGCCCAGAGGGACCTTGTGACCCAGATGGGGGTGGATTTAGCAGACCTGGTGTTGTGTCAGAATGGGGGCTGCTGGGAAGATGAGTCAGTGCTGAATGGGGTTGTGGGAGGAGAGATTGCTGTGTGCTGGGAAATTTGGAAAAGGATCGAAATAAGAGGTCAGGTTTGAGCCAAGCCTTAAGTTGCTCTATCTCCTTGCCCAACTTTTCTTGGAAATACTTGGAAATGAAATTCTGTTGTTTTGCTGCTCAGTTCGTTGGTGGAGACTTTTTTTTTTTCAAATGAGAAATGTAAGGGTTTCCTTCCCTTCTTCCTTTTTTTCCCCTCCCCTCTGCACTTGAGGCAACAGCAGGAGCCATGCAGATGTGTTAAAAGTCAACATACACATGGCATCATAGAGCCACGTTGCCTCAGACCCGGCCCTGTGCTTTCTCTGGACACTGTCATCTGAGGGTTGTCCATGGCAGCTGTGAACTCAGTTTCCCTTGGGGACACAGTCACACCGTCTGACCCCATGGCAGGAAAAGTCCAGTAGCATCTAATTACTACCATGACTCCGACAGTCCGGAACCGTTACCACCACCAATTAGGAGAGTAAGATTTAGAGGTGGTGTTTAGAGATAAATAGGCGAGTCTATGGTTAGTGAGTGGTCGGACAGTGGCCTGACTCTAGAGTGTGGTTTTAACCATGACCCCAGGCTGCCATCCAGTGAGGGCATGGCTGAATGTCTTGCAGAGATGGCAAGGGTCTTTAATTACTCTTATCCAGGAGTCGGACACGACTTAGCGACTAAACCACCACCACCACCACTGGCAAAAGAAAGCTCCCCTGGACTCTGGACTGTACATACCAGGAGACGTATGTGCATGTGTGTATGCACCCGCCTGTGTGAAAGAGGTCCTGGACCTGCAGTCACAGCATCAAGTTGGATCTTGGTAGAAGTGAAATCCTCAAGCCCACCCAGACGTGTTCAGTCAGAGACTCAGGGTGGGGCCTCGAAAGTTACATGCTCACAAGTCATCTGGGATCCTCGGGAAGTCAGAAGCCTTGATGTAGTCCCCAAAAGGAACTTCTTGAGGGACAAAGCCAGGAAGATGAGAAGAGGTCTGTTCCTTCTCCCAGGCACCACCCAGCCTGGTGTCACCTGGACCCCACGTCATCCTCCAGCTTGAGGACTCAGCAGGTCCATCCGTCATCCAGAATTTGGGGCTTCCTGTGCTCGGAGCCCTGGGTCAGGCTGCAGGTGTCTGAATAGGAACTGGGCATGTGATCCCTGCCCACAAAGGGGCAGCAGGCTGGAAACACCACAGGGGAGTTAGAGTCTGGGAGGCATAAGGTCCCAGGGAGGAGTAGTGCTCCATAGTGGAGTGAGGACATATGGCTGAGACCTGGGGGAGGCTGAGTACCAGATGATGTGCAGCAGTGGGGAGGGTGGGACGATGTCCCCCAGGCAGGGAGAAGATGTGCAAAGGCCCCGAGACAGGACCCTGAGCAGACTTGGCATGGGCAGCAAGGGGAGGTGACAGGACCCACCCCTGCTGAGAGTGGTCACCACCTCAGCTGACAGGTATGGGTATGGCCTCATCAGCAGATTGTTCAAAAGAAGCCAGAAATCTGTGGTCTTAGTGTGAAAACTCTTCTAAAGTTTGGACCAGGGACTTCCCTGGTGGTCCAGTGGTTGGGAGTCTGCCTGCCAATGCAGGGGGACTCAGATTTGATCCCTGTTCCAGGAACTAGGATCCCACATGCCGTGGGACAACTGGGCCTGTGTGTCACAATTACTGAGCCCACGAGCCACAACCACTGAAGCCCATGCCCCTAGAGCCTGTGCTCCACAACAAGAGAATCCAGCATGATGGAAGGCCTGCACACCACAACTAGAGAGTAGCCCCTGGCTTTCTGCAACTAGAGAAAGCCTGTGTATGACAGTGAAGACCCAGCACAGCCAAAAATAAATAGATATTAAAAAAATGAACTTTGGACCAGACCGACACACCCTCGACTGATGTCAGGTTTATTGTGTAAATCCAAGTTTTGCCACCAAGCCCCTTCTTCTCAGTTTGTCTTTCTGCTTTTTTTTTTTTTTGGGGGGGGGGGGGCATTTGTTCTCTTCTGTTTTTCTAGTAATTCAAAGAACTTTCCTGTGGCAGTATGTAGAAATTTTTCCCATGAAATCCACCTTTCATTTGTCAAGTTTGTGAGGTATAGCTTTTATACCTGTTAGAAACTTGTAATTTTTAAAAAAATTTATTTTTAATTGAAGGATAATTGCTTTACAACATTGTGTTGGTTTCTGCCATACATCAACAGGAATCAGCCATAGGTTTACATATATCCCTCCCTCTTGAACTTCCTCCCACCTCCCAGAGTAAGTGATAGATGAAATATCCTGAGAGGGAAAAAGTGTGATTTACATGCACACAGGCACACAGACACAAGCTAAAGTTCGTAAATGTTTCCATGGGAGTTCACCCTCTCAAGGATTATGGGTTTGTTATGGGGAGAGTCTCCCATAACTTCTGTCAGAATGGTTTTCCATCAGGAAATATTTGTAGGAACTCCCAGCAGAGTGATTATCGGGTGGTGACTGACCTTGTATTCTTATGGTAACCTCTCAGGATTGCTTTCCATCTGATTCTGACCCAGCCCTGTGAGTTAGACGTGGCAAAGGGTACATCTCCCATTTCTGTAGGAGAAGATTAACTTGGGAGAAGATAAATAACTGCCCCAAAAAGACAGGAAAGGAAAAATTTATATACCTTGACATGAGGGTGACCCTGAAGACCAGGTGGGCAGTGGCTGCTGGTCCCAAAGCTGTTGTTAGGTATTTATTTCCCTGCTGATGGGGAGGTGAGGAATGAAGACAGGCCACGAGGGCCGGCTGGAAGGGGCTCTGGCAAAAACCAGCCAGAGCAAAGCTCACCTTGAAGTCCAGTCAGTGGTGGTGAACAGGAAGTTAGCAATGAACATGATCCTACTGATCTTCAGGTTGACAGTAAACCACCACAACAGACCTGTTTTTGTGGGCAGTCATATGACCTCAGCTTCAGTAAAGGAGGGGGAGGGTAGCGAGCCTCCTGGAAAACTAGCGAGACATTTCCCTTGTCAGTGCATCATTTCTGGGAGCTGGGTGCTGGCTGGACACCTAAGAAGGAATGTGGGTCCTTGTCCTGGATTGCACCCCTACCCCACGAGCACCCTCCCCCTGCACTGCGTGGAATCAGGCCATCCTGTTTGCATCGAGTCTTCTTTCCTGCAGCCCAGGCCGCAGTGCTCAGCCCTGGCCTGTGTGTCAGGGGAGCTTTGAAAACTGCAGGGCCGGTTGGGTCAGGTCGCTGGTGCTGGGTGGTGGTGGTGGGGGTGGGGAATGAGGCTGGGGATTGGGACTTGGGGAGTGCTCCACATGTGAAACACCTGCTTCAGAATTCCCAGTGGTCACCTGCACCTGAGAGATCTCTCAACCTAGGGAGAACGGCGCAAACCACGCCGACCGGACCCTCCCGGTTCCGACTCCAGGGGCGCCAAGTGTAACGTCCATGTACCTGTTTTTGTGCAGTTAACTGCTTGGATCAGCACGTTCAGAAGTCCCCGGAGAGCATCGCTTTGATCTGGGAGCGAGATGAGCCTGGAACTGAAGTGAAGATCACCTACAGGTACGGTGTGTCCCCTGATGGTGGGTGCCTCTGCGTGCACATGTGGGTGCTAGCACCAAACGCTGCTGCCAAGCTGTGGATGGGAGCAGGCCCGGCGTCCTCATCCACTGGGCTGTACCTGGTGTCTTTAGATTCCGCTGGAGAGAACAGGGTCCTCAGAAACAAGTATGACGAATGTTCAAGGCACAGGGTCACTCTTGGTCAAGCAGTCTCATGTGCCTGTGACCAGTTCTTGGCAGGGCATTATATGGGTATCAGGGGTTATTTCCACTTTGGAAATGTTCTCTGGTCTCTGGAAAAGAAACATGAATGTGAGCTGAATCACATACATGCTGGGGTAACTAAAATCAGCTCCTCTTAGTGCGTCATGACAGTGGCACAACAGTAAACCCAAGTTTTTGAGATGGGGCTAAAATAAAACAAGGGCTATGTACGGAATCCTTCACGTATTCTGTATACCAAGTGTGTGCACTGGGCGGGTTTGAGCAGACCTGGCATTGGGAGTGGGTACTTGTCTTCCTGAAGCCCTGCTCCTTCTCGGGCCTGTCTTGCTCAGAGGTGTCTGGTCTGTGGCCACATCCTCGTGGGAAAACCCCTTGGCTCAAGCTTCAGTTCACCTTTATAGGGCTATTGCAGGCCCACTGGGAGCCTAGGTTGTGGTCCCTTAGTACCCCAGGTAGTTGTGGGCATGATTACCCACCTGGTGGGTGGCTCAAGGCTTCTTGGCCAGAAATTCAGCAGGTGTCACTGAGTGCCACTGTAGCAGTCAGGGCAGGCTGGGATACATTACAGTAACAAACATCCCCACTGTGGGCCAGCGACCCAGTGAAGGTCGCTTTACATGACCTTCAAGCTGAGGTGCTGCTGACAAGGAGCGGCCTCAGGAAGATGGAGAGAGAACGTCCAGTCCTAGCCCAGGGATCCCAGGAACAGAGAGAAGGTGCAGGTGTGCTTGGCTGATGGGGAGGGGAAGAAGGGGACATGGCAGGAGGAGAGTTCAGAGTTCCAGGCCCTGGGGACCCCTGGTTTCCTGCTTGTTTTTCAGACTCAGGTTTTATCACAGATTGAGTGCAGCAGTCCTGGTGAAGCTGTGTTCAGGTGGACTCCTGGAAGCAGCAGAGTGACATTAGTTAATCTGCTGTGGCTCCTGGTGGGCCCTGCCCCGCTTGTCCCTCCCCCTGAGTCCAATACCCTCAGCTGTCATAGTCCCTTTCAGCCTTTACTGCCCATCACTGCATTGAGCTGGGTCCCCTGGATAGATACCCTCCTGACTCCATGTGGCCTGGGAGCCCCGGGCTCTGCACACTAGAGTCAGGGGTGCTGCTCTAACAGGTGAGCCACTGCAATGTTCTTCACCCTCACTGGCCCGACTTGATCTATGTGTGCTTGTTCAGTAGAAGATGAAGGCTCTGTGATGGGGGTGAGGAGGTGAAGGGGGTCCAGCTATGGACTAATTTCCTCCTGTCCTCCTGTGGGCCTGGACCATGAGCTGGTGTTGGGCCACGTCGAGCCTCTGAGGGCCTCTGGGCGAGCCTCTGAGTGTGTGGTTGTCACTGTGGGGGAGCCTCAGGAAGACTGCCAGCTCGTTAAAACAAAGAACAACTTTATTTCCATTGCAAAGCAGCCCTGAGCAGGTATAAACCTATAAGTGCAGGCAAAGAATTTATTATTCTCTCTAAAAATAAACAGACTCAGCCTAACAAAATGGTTTTACAAATTTCAGCTAGTCTTAATGCCCCGTGACTGTTGCTATTTACTGTTTGAGGGAAAAGAGAAGCGTGTGACCAGGTTGTCTGTAATGGCAGCTAGTTTTTGAGGGACCTGGATTAATCATTTTCCTGGTCATGTTAGATTTTCAATGTGAGGTTTTCTCCCTTCTGGCTCAGAGGAGAGCTGCCTACACTTGGTGCTGGTTGTCCTGCCGGCATACAAACTGCCACTAAACTGAAGTGCACTCCTGCCAAGTGTCTCACGTGGTGGCACCCAAGGTGCCCCAGGACGGTCACAGGCTTTGGTGGCCTGAAGACAAAGGTCCAGACCCGTGACCTGAGAGCCCTTGAAGGAGGCTGTGTGCGGCTGAGGTTCTCAGGGACCAGAGTGCCGAGGGCAGTGTGTTTTCCCAGGACCCCACCTGCCTCGTCTGTCTGAAGCTTGGGGGACCCGTCTTGCTGCTCAGGGGCACAGGCCTGTCCTTTCTGAATCTGCTGAATTCTTCTGAGGAAGTGCATCTGAAGAATCAGCAGAGAGCTTGTAACATGAACCCCCTTCTGCCCCAAGTACTAGTGACACGTGGGTCCACATGTGCGCACACACCCTTGCACACATGCCCGAAACATGCACGTATCTACAGCCTGCTCTCCATGTCCAAGGATCCTCACTGGACTGCTCTCCAGGGTTGCGCAGACCGCCCTGCTCTTATTCTGGGAGTTGGGCCATTGCCTGGGGGGTGGGGTCTATGGTGCCTTCGAGTTCTCAGTGCTGCTGGCATGTATTTCCAACCGTACCTCCCTAGGGTGCAGGAGGTCTGGCAGGACCTGCTCTGGGAACCCCGGGGCAGCCCAGTGTCCTCATCCTGTCCCTCGCCCGTCTGCAGCGCTGGCTGGTGCCAGTTCCCAGGTGCATCCTGCCCGCCGGGCTGAGGCCACGGGGCAAGCTAGGCAGCGCGGTGGGCCTTGTGCTGGTGCCGGCCGCGTGGCTCTGGGAGGACAGCCTGTTGGCTGGGGTTCTGTTCTCCAGACGCGCTTCCTCCTTCAGGCGTGGTGCTCACTTCCTGATGGGAAGCAAAGGGGCAGGGATCTCTGCTGGCAGGGATCAGTCTGGGATGGCCGGCAAGCATCTCCCGGGGAGGAGGGGCAGCCTGTGACCTGAGGCTGGAGCCCGGGCCAGAGGGCCTCCCAGCTGATTTCCAGCCTGCCTTTGCACAGAAGTGTTCCTGAACCCGTCTGAGGGAGCCAGCAGGCCAGCAATCCTGGGCCCTCTGGCACCGCCTGAGGTCTGTAACGCCAGGCAGGCACAGATAACCTGGGTGTCTCCCTGAGGGGGTTCAGCCAGATAGCACTGGCCGCTGCTCCTCCCAGCCGTCCACATACCTATTTCACAAGCTGGTCCTTCATGGTCGGTTCAAGCAGACAGATTCTAGAGATGCTTGGGGGTGGGGATGTGTGCAAACACAAATCCCTTTCCTCTAGACAGGTGGGGGGCAGTTCAAGACCACTGCCTGCCTGGAGCTCTGGGGTCTGGCCCAAGGATTTCCAAGTGGGGGATGGACAGGGCGTGGAGCAGAGTGGGCAGCTGTGGCTGGTCCCTGTGTACTGCATGTGGGGCCTCTCAGTGGGGCTGCCTGGTGCCCAGTCAGAGCAGAGAGTGGGCTGAGAGTATTGACCAGGCCCTGACCCAGGATCTCCCATCTGAGGTTCTCTGAGGAAGGGTTCAGACATGAGCCCTTTACAGTTTTTTTAAAAATTTATTTTATTGAAGTATAGTTGATTTACAATGTTGTGTTACTTTCTGCTGTATAGCATAGTGATTTGGTTATGCATATACATATATATATTCTCCTTCACATCCTTTTCTATTGTGGTTTATCACAGGATATTGAATGTAGTTCCCTGTGCTCTACAGGAGAACCTTGTCACTTATCCAAGACGTGACCTTTTAAAAAAGCTGGAGCAGATTTTAGCCCTGACTTGGCCTTCCTCTGTGAATGTGGGTTACTGTGAGGGCAGCGCGGCTGCGGTCGTGGTCAGGCTGTGCAGCTGAGCTGGGCGGCTGGGCTGCAGTGAGGAGAGCAGGCCTGGTCCCCCCACCCCCCATGTGCCCACACGTGAGCTAAGTGGAGTTTCCATTGTGGCTTCAGCTCTGGAGGGGGTGATTTCTGTGGTTGTTCCAGCTGGGCTTTCTTATGTAGAGGGTGCACAGTGAGGAGCCCCTGTGGAGGCACAGAGCAGAGCAGACACATACCCCCTGTCTCCCCCCCCAACCCCCCATGAAGGACACTTCCTCCCTGGGCCAGCCGACTAGGCACTGAGCATTACTGGTCCCTAGTGTGGAGAGGCCACAGAGAACACAGGATGGGTCCCAGTCTCTGAGGTGCCCCTCTGTCTGGCAGTCAGACCAGCAGCCCTGGGCAGAGGGAGCAGCGAGGTCTGAAGCCTGGAGGTACCTCCTCAGAGGCTGGCTCGTGTCCCGGTTGTGGCCACTTGTTACTGTCACAGAAGGGCCCCCTGGGCTCTGGTGGGAGGAAGCAGGAAGTCTCCCTGGGACGTGGCTGGAGACGATGTTGAGGAAGTCCTGGGAGTGAGTTTTGAGAGGCCAGGAGGGTTTCGCAGGCCAGTGTACTGTGGGGTGGGGCAGCTGGGTGGGTGCCCTGTGTTCCCACCCGCTTTGTCCCCGACTGTGGGCGACCTAGAGAACATTTCTGGCTCCCTGAGCCTGTTTCTCCTCCCCTGGGTGCTGGGTGCTGAGCAGCCCAGGGGAATGAAAGCCCAGGCCAGGATCTGGGAGGATGCAAGCCTCATTTAGCTGTAGGTTGGGGCCAGGCAAAGGGATGCCAGGAAAGGATTTCAGATTTGACGAGGGGAAGGGTTGGTGGCCCTGCTGCTGCTGGCGCCGGGAGAGGTGGGTGGGTTTTCCAGGAAGAGGACCTCACCTTGGGAGAACAATTTAGGGTCTTTTAAAAGGCAGCACTTCTGCCCCTCCCAGCCCCCAACCTTGCACCTTGCGCTTCTCACCCGCAGATTAATTACAGTTTGCAGTGAGCAAACTCCTGTATTAACAAATTAGGACAACTGAAGGGGAGGATTATTAACTGGTATAGTGAGGTGGAGAGGTGGGGTGCTTTAGGATGAACCAGTGCCATTTACCGTGAGGCACCAGGACAGGGGTACCTGTCAGGCAGGGGAAGTGGGTTTGTGGGGGTGGGCTCCTCAAGAGGCCAAGGCCACCAGGCTTGTGTGCGGTGTCCCCTGTCGGCCCCTGAGTAACTCTGACTGCAGAACTCA